GGTGAAGAGATTCACTGGCACTTTCTCCACGAACAAGGTGTTTATAGAAATGCTTCATAAGGGTCGCCGTTGCTTCGTCTTCTATGGCCCACGATGCTACCAACACTGAACGAGCACCGGATGCTAAGAATGCTCGAGCGATTCCAATAACTCCTTCCTTTTTAACAAATCCACGTCCACTGTGACAACAGCTGAGTACAACCAGTTTAGCTCGCACTTGAACTGCTTGAATGTCGGACATAGTCAAGAGGTAGTCTTTCTCTTGTGGAATACTGTTGGCAGTACTTTGTGGGGAGAGTGCAATCTCTCCTCTTTCGGCATCTCCATGAGCGGCAAGATGTATCAGACTTACTGAAGGTATTGCTTGAAGTACCGCTTGCTTTGTTGCGTACCTTCCTAACAAAGGCGGAATGTCCAGCAGTTGACCAATCATCTTTGCTTCCTTGTTTGCACAGAACAAAGGTGTGACCTCAGTGAGACTTCCATTGTAATGCACTTTGCCAACCGTAGGATCGCCCACTATCAGTGCGTCAGTTTGACTGTGATAGTCTGCTCTACACTCTTGAATGTGACAGAGAGTGGTCAGAGAGGGGATGATGCGTAGTCTGTACTTCTCTGATAAATACTTTCCGGCAGGTTTATCACGCAAGGCAGCAAATGGGACTCGGTACGAAAAACGATCCGGGACAATGATTATTTCAGGCCCTGTAAGTAAATCTGCCACAGGTGCGACGATCCATTCGTAGCACAAATGGTGAATTCTTTCCGTATCTTTGGTTTGTTCACCTCGTAAATTTGTTCTGCTCTTTCCATGAGGAGGTGTCGTCACGTTGTCATCCAAAGATCGATCTTCGCAGTTGGCTTTGGGTAAAACGCCAAAGCCAGCGGCGCTCTTTTTGAAAATTCCATCCACATCGCAAACTTCCTCAGCAATAAGAGTGTTTACTTCTACTTTGTTTGATTTTCGAAAGAAAGTGTCTCCATTTGCTTTCAATACCCAGAGAAGAACTTGCCGCTCTTCGTTCGAAATATACAGAAAAACACAGTTAGTTTCTCTTTTTACGACGTTTTCAATCCCGAACCATGTGTTTGGATTAGCTGAGATGTGGCTTTCCACGGAGTACTTGTCTGCCATTAATTCTGCGAGGACTCTTGCTCGTCCCAGTTCCTCAACGTAGAGAGCATCTTGAAATTGTTCAGTATCGCAAAGCAAGCGACTGAGTAACTTGTAGGGAAAAGTACCGTGTTCCTCCAACAAAGAAATTTTAAATTCACTCTTTCCTTCCAGGGAAGTTCTGATTTGCTCGTATTTTCCAATACATTGAATGAGATAATCCTTTGCCTCCGCAACCTGTGAATGCGATACCTTGAGCAGTGTAATTTCGAGAAGGCTTTTAAACTCCTCTAATTTGTTTCCAGTTTGACTGCTTATAGAGTAAGCTTTCTTCAAACAATCTTCTGCCTTACCACATTCATGAAGCGAGGGGTATATATTGCCAAGGGTCATGTAAATTTTTGCTTCGAGATCTCTATCTTCACATTCTCTGCTGATGGTAAGCGCCTTCTCACAATGTTCTTTGGCTTTCAGATTTTCATTGACAGAAGCAAAAACACTTGCTAAACCGGTAAGAGCAGAAGCTTCTGACTTTCGGTGACCAATTGCTCTACTGACGTCGACTGCCTTTTCAAAATATTCTTTAGCTGGCAGATTTTTTCCAAGGTTAAAATAATTAAATCCAAGTTTATAGTATTCGTGACATTCTGTTTCTCTCCTACCAATTTCTATCGCGATGGCAAGTGCTTTCTCGATATATTCTTTAGCCTTCTGATATTCGCCAATGGAAGAAAATACAGCTCCGAGGTCCCCGTATCTTGTAACTTCTCCATATTTGTCGCCAGTTTCTATCGCGATGGCAAGTGCTTTCTCTTGATATTCTTTAGCCTTCTGATATTCGCTAAGGGAATAAAGCACAGCTCCGAGGTTCCCGTTTCTTCTTCCTTCTCCTCTTCTGTGGCCAATTTCTATAGCAATGGCAAGTGATTTCTCGTAGTATTCTTTGGCCTTTTGCTTGTCGCCAAGGGAAGAAAACACAGCTCCAAGGTCGTTGCATCTGGTTCCTTCCCCTCGTCTGTCGCCAATCTCTATCGCAATGGCAAGTGCTTTCTCTTGATATTCTTTAGCCCTCTGATATTCGCTAAGGGAATAAAACACAGCTCCGAGGTTCCCGTTTACTCTTCCTTCTTCCCTTCTGTCGCCAGTTTCTACCGCAATGGCAAGTGATTTCTCGTAGTATTCTTTGGCCTTTTGCTTGTCGCCAAGGGAAGAAAACAAAACTCCAAGGTCGTTGCATCTGGATCCTTCCCCTCGTCTGTTGCAAATCTCTATCGCAATGGCAAGTGCTTTCTCTTGATATTCTTTAGCCCTCTGACATTCGCCAAGGGAGTGAAACACAGTTCCAAGGCACCCGTATGTTGCACTTTCTCCTCTTCTGTCGCCAATTTCTATCGCGATGGCAAGTGCTTTCNCTCGTATTTTCCAATACATTGAATGAGATAATCCTTTGCCTCCGCAACCTGTGAATGCGATACCTTGAGCCGTGTAATATTGAGAAGGCTTTCAAACTCTTTTAATTTGTTTCCAGTTTGACTGCTTATAGAGTAAGCTTTCTCCAAACAATCTTCTGCCTTACCACATTCATGAAGCGAGCGGTATATTTTGCCAAGGGTAATGTAAATGTTTGCTTCGAGATCTCTATGTTCACATTCTCTGCTGATGGTAAGCGCCTTCTCACAATGTTCTTTGGCTTTCAGATTTTCATTGACAGAAGCAAAAACATTTGCTAAACCGGTAAGAGCAGTAGCTTCTAACTCTCGGTGACCAATTTCTATACTGATGTCGACTGCTTTTTCAAAATATTCTTTAGCTGGCAGATTTTTTCCAAGGTTAAAATAATCTGATCCAAGACTTTTGTATTGGCAACCTTCACTTTTTCTCCTGCCAATTTCTATCGCGATGGCAAGTGCTTTCAAGTGATATTCGTTAGCCTTCTGATATTCGCCAAGGGAAGAAAACAAACATCCGAGGTCCCCGTATCTCACAACTTTTGCATATTTGTCGCCAATCTCTATCGCGATGGCAAGTGCTTTCTCTTGATATTCTTTAGCCCTCTGATATTCGCTAAGGGAATAAAACACAGCTCCGAGGTTCCCGTTTACTCTTCCTTCTTCCCTTCTGTCGCCAGTTTCTACCGCAATGGCAAGTGATTTCTCGTAGTATTCTTTGGCCTTTTGCTTGTCGCCAAGGGAAGAAAACAAAACTCCAAGGTCGTTGCATCTGGATCCTTCCCCTCGTCTGTTGCAAATCTCTATCGCAATGGCAAGTGCTTTCTCTTGATATTCTTTAGCCCTCTGACATTCGCCAAGGGAGTAAAACACAGTTCCAAGGCACCCGTATGTTGCACTTTCTCCTCTTCTGTCGCCAGTTTCTATCGCGATGGCAAGTGCTTTCATGCAATATTCTTTAGCATTCTGATATTCGCCAAGGGAATTAAACACAAATCCTAGGCACTCGTATGTTGCTCCTTCCCCATGTTTGTCGCCAATTTCTATCATGATAGCAAGTGCTTTCTCGGCATATTCTTTAGACTTCTTATATTCGCCAAGGTCATGAAATACAAATCCGAGGCTCCTGTTCATTCTTCCTTCTTGTTGTCTATCACCAACTTCTATCGCGATGGCAAGTGCTCTCTCGTAATATTTTTTAGTCCTCTGACATTCGTCAAGAGATTGAAACAAAGATCCGAGTTTCTCGTTCAGTATTCCTTCTCGTTGTCTGTCGCCAATTTCTATCGCGATGGCAAGTGCTTTCTCTTGATATTCTTTAGCTCTCTGATATTCGCCAAGGGAATGAAACACAGCTTCGAAGCTCTCGTATGTTCTTCCTTCTTGCTCTCTGTCGCCAATTTCTATCGCGATGGCAAGTGCTTTCCCTTGATATTCTTCAGCCTTCTGATATTCGCCAAGGGAATAATACACAGATCCGAGGCTCCCGTATGTTCTTCCTTCTCGTTCTCTGTCGCCAATTTCTATTGCGATGGCAAGTGCTTTCTCTTGATATTCCTTAGCCTGCTGATATTCGCCAAGGTATTCAGACAAAGATCCGAGTTTCCCGTACGTTCCTCCTTCTTCTTGTCTGTCGCCAGTTTCTAGCGCGATGGCAAGTGCTTTCCCTTGATGTTCTTTAGCCTTCTGATATTCGCCAAGGGAAGAAAGCACAGTTCCATGGTTCCCATTTATTCTTCCTTCTTGTTGTCTGTCGCCAACTTCTATCGCGAT